TATCGAATCAACTGAGATATATATACTCCCTATGTGGGTGATGAAGGAATATTGCTGCATAAGTAAGGAAAGCAGACGATTGTAAAGTTTAAGTCATCACGTTTATCATAGAGCTTTGTGCCTAGATTACCATTAACGTCTTTTTTTGAGTTAAATATCCAAGTATGAAAGAGATGTGTCAGACTCTGTGGTATCTTTTATCTCAAGCTCACCAGATATATCGTATCGACGTAGGAATGGAAATGACTATTGTAAATTGACAATACGTCGTCAATATATCTAAATGTCGAGTTGAAGGTCGCAGCAAGTGTTTTCTTCTTTTCATGCATAAGATTTTGCAAAAATTCTGCTTCATATGAATATAAATATAGGTATGCTAATAACGGAACGCAGTTGGTACCCATGGGAATTGCAATAGATTGTTAGAATACCTGGTCTCCAAAAAAACACATAGATATTGTTAATCAGAAACTCAAGCATCTCTTTGATGTCAGCTTCAGAGTACTTGTGTGTGCAATCAGAATGTAAATTTAAAATAATTTAAAATATTTAGAATTTAAAATAATGGCTTAACAATTTATGAAAAGCGATAATTAGTATTCGACTTCATGACAGATTGTATTTGCTGACAAGGTCATTGTATAGACAATAGAATTTGCGTAATGGTAACTTTAAACGAGATTGCTGATATTCTATTTTATTTGTCAAAAGCTTTTCTCGTTTTAGATACATTTCCTGTAACTACGCCAATTATATTCTTGCGTTACAAATGAATTCGGAGACGTAAAATTCATATGCAGCTTTTAGGGGTATAATACTGCATAAATAAGGAAGGTGGCGATAGAAAAGTTGAAGTCATCACGTTTATCAAATTTTTGTTGGAGCTTGCCGGTAATGTCTTTTTCTATAAAAACATACGAACATGATAGGGTAGGCTAGACTCTGTTGTATGTTTTTTATTTCGAATTCAAGGTGATGGAACGAGTATACGTAGGAATGAGAATGAATATGTTTAATAAAAAAAAATCATCGATAAATTTCAATACAGATTTTAAGGCAGCAACTAGATACTTCCTTTTTTCAAGTAAAAGTCATTAAATAAATTCTGCTTTATGTAAATACAAAATTATGGGTCTGTTAATAACGAGTCTAGATATAACAGAAATTCCAACAGGCTGTTGGAAGCCTTTATCTCCAAACACTACATAGATAGATGATGCTAATCAGAAATCTCAATCCTCTTTTTAAAAAGCAACTTTACAGTACTTCTGTGTACAATTAGAATGTTTTAGCAAAATAAATCTGCATTTGACCAGTAACAAAGAATATAAAATGTACGAATTTTATTTTTACATAGAAAGCAGTTGCCTATGAAATATAAAAGCCTAGAATTTAATTTATGGTGAAGAATAGTTGTATAATGTATTGAAAAATCGTGTGTGATGCTACTGATTTTGGTAAGATTTTGTGACTTCAAATCTTCTACAATATAATATATTTGAATAACGAAGTGTATTTAAGACGAAAGAAATCTGGAGCAGAGCAAACAGGGACCTCCAAAACATCAGAGGTGGAATCAGGTAACATGAAGGAGAGAGAATCCTATTGCCAACTGGTCATACACGCGGTGTGTTCTTTGCTTTGATCGTGGAAAACGGAAAAATTCGTAAACAATTCAGTCTAACAATTAACTACTGGTAGTATGAAAACCGTGATTATATTGTATTTGCTAACAAGGTAATTGTTTCTACTACGACAGAACTTGATGACTTTAAACGAGAGTCTTGATATACATTCATTTTTCATAACTTGTTCGTTTTAGATATTGTATGTACGTAGAACATGCACATGTGTGTTGAATCAGCTGAGAGATATAAACCCAATAGGCATATAGGGTATTAAGGTGATAAGCATGATAAGGGTACATTGAAAGTTTTTTTTAGAAAGTTTCGTATCCACATCCGATCAACATCAATTCTCCGATATTTTGATGCAAAGATACTCCTTGATTTCCTCATACACTGCTGTAAATATTTCGAAAATTTAAAAAAAAAAAAAAAAAAGGTGTGGAGGTCTGGAGGAATATTTTCTAAAACACGCTAAGGGTTTTTGTATAGACTAAGTGTAGTTTAGAAATTTATTATTGGTATTGTCATTCAAATTGTATTTATTATTGTTGGAAATATTTTAAATATTTAAAACTGAAAGAGATTAAGATCATAAAGTATTTTTCAGTAATTGAAACTAAACCTTGTGATATTTTTTTTTTTAGAATTTCGCAATCTACTTTGTATAAATTGTTTGGTACTAACTATTGAAAAAGAAGATAATTTTTTTTAGTGAAGGATTTTGCAACCTTAAAAACTAACATTTCAAGAAAAGAAGTATTATCTTTCGAAAAAAATATGATTTATGTTCATATCTCGAGTATATCCTTGCACTTGCATAGTATTTTTTTTCTTTTCCGTGTAAGAAATCAAATTATTTCAGTGTTATTGAATATTCAGAACAATAATAATAGTTTTTCCCAAATTTATTGGTAACACTGATGTGATCATATTTAAAGAAAAAATACTCATACATATTCACTGTAACAGTATTTGAATATAGCAGTTATACAAGTATAGAATAAAAAGCCCGTTACTAGGCGAATGTTTTACAAAGGTTGGGAAAGAAAGATAACTGATTGTTAAAGATAACTCATTGTGGTACAATGTTCAAATAATACGGGAATAAATTGTTGCAAGATTTTAAACCATATAAAAATGAAATTTGATCTCCTCCATAAAAAAGACTCTTTTGATGGCGTTTTATTTTGAACTTTTAACTCCCCTAGCTTTAGGTCTGATTCAAAAATTGTTTAAAACTACAAATTCAAGAGATGGAGTAGACAATTTTCTTAGGCATGCATTTATACAATATAATATAAAAATTTAACTAAGTTTGTTCAATATTCGTGATGGCGCTATTCACTTAATTGTTTATTAAACTTTTAAAATATAAATAATCATTTTGCAAATTAATACATAACACAAAGATTAAATAGCAATTGTTGAAGATCTTTCCAAAAATTCATTAATCAGACACACACCTTTTTTGTCAATTTAATACAAGTATAATTTCATCATCAACATAAATAATTACAGATAGGGTAAGAAACATTCATTTACCTGCTTATACATGATAAAGGATCTCAGATCAAAAATGTTGGGTGTCTTGTATACGGAACAATATTAGAGAGTGTCAGTAGCACATACATGCACTTTCTAAACTTGAATTCAATTCTGCAGGCATCTTTATCTTTTGTTCGTGGCTTGGTCCTTTCATGTATTTTTTCTTCATTGGGGACTACAGGCAATATAATTCGTCGGGGAGGGAACGATACAAAGTATTCTGGGACAGTTGCTTTTTGGCATCCGTAAAGGTCGGGACAAGCAAATTTTGTAGGACATAGTGTGGATCACAGGTACTCGTGGACAGGACACCCCACCCCACCCCCACCCCCCCCCCCCACCCGAATATACACCCCCGCTCAATTTTTTTTTTTCATAAATTATTCTTCTATTACATATTTACAATGTATGCCATGTAAAAAATAAAAAAAAAATGACTTTTAATTAACGTTTTATTAAAAAAAAATCATACCCGCCAGATTTCCGAGAGGGGTCCAGTGTTCAGTAAAATAGAATGTAAGTGACTTACCTTCTCTATTTTATAATACCGCACGTATGATTTGTTTTTGTTTTTTTTAATAAAACTTTAATTCTACTTTATTTTTTGGATTTTTCAACAACAACAAAATTGACCCGGGGTGTATATTCGGGGGGAGGGGCAGGGGGAGGGGGGGTCCTGTCCACAAGTACCTGTGACTGTAGATGTGACATTCATGTTTTTTCTCTACTAAACATGCATGGCATGCAATAACATGCGAGCTTCGCTGCCATGCTACCGTGTAAATAACAATATTATTTCTAAAATTGCATCCCTATTATCGATGTTTTTCTTGCATTTTTCATCATAAATTGTGATGAAACGCTTTATAGGTTCTCCTTCTCCTGCTTTATAATTGTCGTTTTACTTTTCATTAAACTGCCCAAATATCTGTCTTACAGGGGAAAAGACTTTAAATATAGATTTGTTACACTGCCGAAAACACGTGTCTTTTTGTTTTGACAGATTTTGTATTTCGCGGAATTTTTCTCGGGCTTTTTCAATGGAAACAGTGTTCCGAAATAACATCCGCCATTTTGTTTGTTTATATTCGATCTCAAGGGAATTTTGCCGAAATTTGTTGTATTTTTACTATTTTACTGGTTTTTGGAGAGGATATCTCTGTTGCAGAAGGTAAGACATTTAGTAGACTTAATCATACTCAGTATGCTATGTTTGTTTCATGGGATCTCTGCAAGATAAATAAGCGAAATTTTCATTTAATTTTAAGTAACGGGTACCCTCCTTTTGGTACCTAGGCCTAATGCTTTTTTTCTGTTAAGTTTCTGACGAGTTGGATATTGTGTATTGCATGAAATTACCGATATACAATGCTTCCTTTCAAACGAAATGAACATGTTAGATATTTAACTGGTTTCTAGGAAGGCATAGAGATGCGGCCTTATTAGTATAACACTAAATAACTAAAGGAAATTCGGATGCATTGAATCAGTTACTGGATAAATGGATTCTACCTCTCTTCCACCAAAAAAGATCACATTAAAACTTTCCTCTGTTAGTTATCAGAAACTTATAATACCTGAAAAATAAATGAGATTGCAATTTAATCTAAAAATGCAATATTACATGTAACACAGGTTTATTTATTTTATACTTCAGTGATGCATTGACTGTCTCTTGCTACCCTCAAAACTTGCACATTGATACCAATACACAGATGGTTAAAGCATTGTTTAAGAGACACATATTTGAGATTCTTTTGCTTTGAAGTTTACTAAAACAATAATGAAGAAAGTGGGTCATTTTATTTATAGTTATTAATATGAATAATGAAGTAAACACCTATAATAATCAAATACCGGTAGTTAATTCAAGATTTTAGTATGATTAGTTACATGTAGACTACTTTTGTACAATGAAATTTACTGTTATCTTATTGAACAAAGATTCTTACATGGTTATGGTTTAACTTATATTTCAGACTTTTATATTTAGCATGTCAAAAAGTTCTAAAATTAAAAAAAAATCATGAGATTATCCTTTGAATAAAAGTCTCCCTTTCATATTAATCCTCGACCAGTCTTATATTCTGTACTCCCCAGATAAATAAGGGTATGTACATGATGTAATTAAAAGGTAACCCACCAAATAATACTTACACAAAAAAAATGAAATTTAATAATTACCAGCCAGAAAAAAATAGGGTAGGTGTCAAAACATTTTTTTTATTTCACAAACTATTCAATGGTATTTCTTTTGGATATGGGGGTTACAAAACCAAATTGAACATATCATAGCTAAGGTCATTTTTATTGTTAAAAGATATTGTTTCTTTTGATCAAATCAAGTAGCATTTTATTAACATGGTTTAAACATATATTTCATGTAATACAACTGTGTGTATAACATTTTTCTGACTTCAAACATGAAATTCCTAAAATTTTTACATTTTTTCCCCACAAGGAAAAAATGAACTTTACAAGAAAACCACAATGAACCACAACGAAACCACAAGGAGACAAATGAAAACTACATGAACAAGGACATCTTAATTTAATTTTTAAATTTTAATTTTGGGGGATTTAGGGGTTATGAAAGGTTACCTGTATATATATTTATGTATTTTATATTTCACACAAGTTGTTTAAATATTCAAAGTTAGGTTTTATTATTGCTAAACTGTGTGGTAAATTTTGTGATATTATCATGATTATAAGATAAAATTATTAATATACATTTGGAGCTTGTTCCATTTCAGTTAAATAATATACTCCTTATGATTATATAGCAAAATTTTGTTTGCCAATGAACACTACATATGCTTAAAATTTATATTACAAATATTTGAATAGATAAGACTATATATAAAATGAAGATGTAGGATTTAGTGATCTAATAGTATTATAATTTTTTACTTTTGCAGATGACGTTACAGTACCCCCTATTTTCCCGTAATAATATGCAATTTATCAAAATTTTTGGCTGTGATTCTGATTGACTGGAACCACAGCTATCTGGAGACCTCGCTCCTGAGACTGTGTCAGAGTTATCTCCCCCAGTGGAGGAAGAGAAACATCAGACAGGATGTGTACATCTGCTTGTTTGGAATAGCGCTGACCTTAATTTATGGCAACTGTTTGAAAAACTTTGTCATCAGTTTTGAAAACTGTAGAATTTTAGGTGCTTCCTTAGCAGTCTTCCTCTCTTTCTGGCTCCAGAGTAAATCAGACACAGATTCTGTCTCAGATAAATGTGTTGGGACTCCTGTGGTCCCAGTCTCTGATAAATCAGTGGGAGGATCCGCAGTAACACAGAGAGACCAGGAGACTGGTGGCTCCACCTGCTGTGGAGCTGGGGTCCCCCGGTACCTCGCCTCTCTGCCTCCCTCTTCCTCGGAGCCTCAGTCTGCGGTGAACATAGAGGAGGAGTTGAGTCATCCCTATGTGGAGGCCTTCAGGACACAGGTAGATGAGGAGGAGGTAACTCTGGAGGAGCTGATCACTGCCATACAGTACCTCAACACACTCAAGGAAGGTAAGTATCACAATGGTAAAATTCAGTATACAATATTTTTTTAAAAGAATCATCAGCAATTGATGACATGCCAGACTTGGGTTCATTACTTTCTTACATTTCATTTAACAATATGCATGTACATTTACACAAGCACAAAGCAGCAAAATTTTGTTTGCCCATGAACATTAAATATTCTGCCTGGGGCTGTTAGGCTGAAGGCAGACATTTTGGTTCGAGAGTCGACAAAATGCATTTTGCCCGAGAACATAGTCAATAAATGTTTTGTTATACCTTTCATTTTAATTTTTTTTGACATACATGCAATTTGTACTGACTTTCGTGATGTAACCTCAGGTTCATCAATTTTAAACACAGTTATCTGGAGATGTCCACCCATTCTGTAACGTAAGGGTTAACATCCCCCAGTGGACTGGTCCAACATCTCACTCAGCGGTCCAACATCAATTTAATATATTTATGCCCACTCAGCAAAACATTAGAAATGTTAGACTTTTTTTGTGTAGATTGTTTGAACAAATTTTCAAATGTATAACAACAGTTTTTCAAAATTTGAATAGGGAAATGGTTTGGAACACTTCAGTCTTGCCTCAAAATATTTTTTAAAAATAATACCAGTACATTTACCCTAAGTAATGTAGAAATATCTGAAATAATGACTGGAAAAGTGTTGTAAATATACAAAAAAAATTGGATTTAGGCTACATAAATTGAAATTCTGGTTCTCAGGCCCGCGCGCATCTGTTTTGAGTTAGCCACATTGCTAATTTTATTGTATTTTTGATGAAATAAAAAGTTGGTATTGCGGAGACCAATCCGGAAAAAAAGTTATGTCCTCATTTTTTCGTAGTTTAGTATTCAAATATCACTTCCCGTAGCCATTTTCAAAGAGATTTTGGCTTCTTCATTTGAAAATACATTAAAAGACATTGCCTATGATGTTCACATGCTGATAAACAATGGATAAAGCAAACCTTTTGATCAGACATAGAGGGTATATCTGTGATTTAAAAAAAATTATCTTTATTTTAAAGAAAATTCGAAAAATAAAATTAAAAAAATACCTCCCTCACAATCATTCCATTTTCTCGCATCTGTTTTGGAGAAAATTGGCCTGAGAACCAGAGAATTAAATTTAGATAGCCTTACTTTTTTATTATTTAAAGTTTTACATCTTACATTGTAATTTCTCTCCACAAATCCTACAAAATGACAACAATTCAGCATAACTGGATCTTCTTTGCTAATTATTTTTAATTTCTTTTTTATTCAAGGAATAACTGCTCATAGAAGTGCTCAGAAGTTGATAGATGCTGTGGATCATATCCAGAGAATGGGACAGATGTCAAGGCTGGATGACTCTGGATTCCCCCAGGATTACACTTATGAGGAGCTCCACCACATCGTGGTGGTGGAGAGTGGGTACCCCCTAGAGGACTTTGACAGAGTGGTTGAAAAATGCTTAGAGAACAGCAGTAAGTGAAAAATAAGGCTTAGTCATGCAATGATTAAGGATTTGTAGAAAAAATATTTTCCTCCTTCAATTGAATCTAGAAAATTTGTTAAAAGTGAATATTATTATTAAAGACAATTGTACTAAGTTGCTGCTTTAATTCAGATGCTCTCATCTAATGATATTTATGTCATATATTTGTGTCATATCAATGCCATAACAATCCAGTGTATATGCTGACCCTGCTTCTTTTCTCTTTGACCAGGTTACCTCCCATCTCCAGAGGAGTTTGCAGAAATCCATCATGACATGAAAGGTATAGGTAAATAACAGTTTATTTATTCAACTTCAGGAGTATGTATATTGTAGTTTTACTACATTCTGAAATTGGATATATGTATATGAGTTCTTAATTTACTCTTACTATAACAATTTTTAAAATAAGATTCTATACTATACATCAGTTCAAAAAGTATCAAGCAAATATATGTTCAAACATTTGATTTTCAAACATGAAGTGAGAATTTGCATTGTGAGGTTATTAAACATGATTTTTTTTAAACAAAAACAATTAAAAAAAGGAATAAAGATTGATAAATATCCCCAAATAATTGTAGTGCAACTAGAAAAGGAGGTGGCAGAGAAGGACCAAGAGATTTGTGAGACAAGGAGAGAGATGGAGGAGACGCTGAGGGTAGTGGAGGAGACCACACAGGAAGTGAGGGAATCCCGACAGAAGAACCAGTCACTCAGAGAGAGGCTGCAGCAGAACGAGAGGATCATCCTACAGAGAGATCAAGCCTTACAGCAGAGAGATCAAACCATACAACAGAAGGACAGAATGCTACAGCAGGAGAGACAGAGGGTAAGAATGTTGGAGGAGAGAAATCAGCCGGTCCCTGAGGGGGAGTGGCAGAAGAGACTGAGGGAGCTGGAGGAGGAGAATCGTCGACTGTCTGCCCAGTCTGACCGCGCTAAGTGTAAGATCTGTCATCAGGAGGAGGTCCAGGTGTCCTTCACCCCCTGTAATCACCTGATCTCGTGTCAAGGTTGTGTGGACAGTCTGCCAGAGAGAGTGTGTCCATTGTGTAGGCAGCCAATTCAGGGAACAGTCAACATGTTCTTTGCTTAGAATATTTGTAAATTATGAATCTGTGATTGGGCAGCAGCTACTTTTACTTGTCTTGTTTATGTATCGTTTAGGTTTATTTTTTGTTAACAAATTTGTTAACCAGTCATTTGTCTGGATGCAAAAGCATAAAGGCAGAAAATTGTATGAAATGGATTTATTTGCTGAGATCTTAAATTTCTGTGTTTCCTAACAGGATTATTAATATGATATTTTTTTTGTTGTTCAGGAATATATAAACCTTTTTTAAAAGCAATATGAGCTACATTTTTGAGAATTTTATTTTGCTATTAAACTGTGCAATTATGATAAATTTGTAAGTAATTTAAACCTTTAGGACCAATTAGACTAAAATAAAGAATTGAATTGTTTCAAAAGAAAGACCTCTGTACAATCAAATATTTAGTATTATTTAAGAAAACAATATTGTACAGGACATGTACAACAATAATGCACTTTTGCATCATAAAGAGCTTGTGTATCCTTCTTCTATTACAAATATGAACAACAGAAGTTTATAAATGTTCATTTCTCTGTCCTTGAAATAGTTAATGAAAAATTTGCAACAGAAAATTTTACATCAAAGTTGCAGTTCATATTGCTTTAAAGGAAGATAAATGTATACTACCTTCATGTGCTATTTTTGATTACATTTACATGTATTATATTTGTTCTTCATTTGTAGTGTAAATAATTGTACATACCTTGAAGTTCCTGATTATGTTTATGTGTGAATGTCTTGACTATGACAAGAATGGCAGTTGGTTTTAATTATCAGTGTATAAAAAGGGCAGCATGTGCAATATGAAGTGAGACTGTTTTGTATGTGTGCATTGGGGTAAGTGCTAAGTTTTTCATTATTTTTACTATGTGCAGCTAAAACTATGTATTTTAAATCAAATACATGTATGTTGGTTTCAAAAGAGCAAACCCACGACTATATATTTGGGTGAAAATTATACCTTGTTCCTTTTAGAAATAGTGCTTTAAAATATTTTTCCTTGTTGTGACAGATTTATATAATGAAAGAAACTTTACTTTTATTGCTTATGGTTTTACTATATGTACAATAGTAGTTCTTTTCAATATTGTGTGGTAGCAAATAACACTTGATTTGCAGTGAACTGCATGTTTGAAAATAGAATATAAGATTTGTTTAACTACTTTACATTGTGTACACTGCCATGGAGGGTAATTTTATTTTATATATTAGTTTGTGTTTATTGTGAGCAGGCAGTTTCCTCTTTTAAATACTATATCTTCCTTTAATTTTGTTGAAGGTAGATAATGATTTTTATCAGTTCTTAAAATTTCATTGTGCTTTATAACAGACTTTCCATTGGTAAGTTGTCAGTAAGTGCTTATCAGAAGTTGACATATTTCTTGGAAATTTGATTTTTATCTGGCTCCCCTTTACTTGAGTCTTCTTTCACTTCTTGAAAAATCTCTAGATCTGTCATTTTTTCTGTAAATCTTCCTTCATATCTGTGACATTTGATGACATGATATCAATGATTTGGGTGTAGTTTTAATACACATGTATAACAAGATAGGTAAGACTGTAAAACACGAATGATACAAAGAAAATGATTTCAATTTCATGTACAATTGTTTTGTTTTAATTCTAATTGATTTAATCAACTCAAATGCTCACTATTGGGCAAATATTTTGATTTTATGAGTTATGTGTGACTAAATACTTAGTACTTTGATTTTTGAGGCAGGAAAATGTTTATGATGTAAATAATTTTTCTTATACTTATGTATGCATACCTAAAGCAATGAAAAATATTTAAAATCAAAAAGGGTTTCTTGTTCCTCAGTTAAAAGAAAGCAACAGCAGAAAAATGTTCTTAAAGTTCGGTTTTGTGTTATGAAATATTCTTTAAGAAAAACAAATGAAACACTCATTTGACTTTTTAGCTCTTCTGAGCCAAAGGCTCAAAGAGCTATTGCTACACAAATTGCTATCGTTATGGCCATTCGTGCGGTGTGCGTAAACTTCTTAGAATATGGGCCATAACTCGAGAACCCCTTGGCCAATCATTGTGAAATTTGTCACAGGGTATCCTTGGCCTAAGGACTACCATTTGCTATAAAACTAGGGTTGGAACCCTTAAACAAGGGGAGATAATCAGAAAAATAAAACCAAAAGTACTGGTTCTTAAAAATCTTCTTCTCCATAACCACCAGGCAGATTTTCACCAAACTTAATACAAGCATCAGGATATGTTAAGATTGAAATTTGCACAGGGAAGTACCCTGGGGCAAAGGGCGTGGTCTTAAGTCACTTCAAAGTTGATCTAAATTTACACTTAAATAAAAACGTTTATATTTTGCTTATTATTAAGACTAGAATCATCAAATCTTGTAAGTTAATGCATCTTAGGACTTCACATCATGTTAACTCAAAAGTAGGTTGCAGTGACCTACTTTTGTAATTTTGCGGGCATTTGTTTTCAAATTGATTTTAACGCATAATTTGGACACTATAAGGCCTATGATCATCAAACTTTGTCAGTTGATGCATTTTGGGTCTTAGGATACTCAGAGTTGGAGGCTTAAATAGAAGTGATAGACTGTACAATTTATCAGAAGAGCGATTCAAGGCCCTTGGGCCTCTTGTTCAGAAATATGCTGAGATGTCATGCCAAGTTATGCAGTCATGACATTTTAATCTAAACATATAAATTTTTGTTTTACATGTAGCTGTATGACTTGCACTTTCGAATCTAATTACTAAAACTGTGTTCATTTTCAAGTAACACCTCTGACAATAGAGCTTTTCTGGTCTTTTTTTTTTATCAATCTATTTCCATACGGAAATGTGTTTTACTTGAATATAAATGAACAGATTAATTTACAGTGTAAAAATTGATCAAACATGAACACACTGCCTTTTAGATATTTTTTTTTTACAATGTAGAAAAATTTAATAGATTGAATTGCTGCAAAAGGGCACACAAAAAGAGCATTGGAGGGAGGGGGGTACAAAATGCCCTTAAAGCATTATAATGCTTCATTATGAGATATATAAATCCACCGATCCACAGTTACACACTAGAGATTTTCTTTAAATAATATTAACTTAAAGTTGCATAGACACAGATTTGAAGTTAAGCATTTCACAAGAAAATGTAATAAAACCTTATTTAATCTCGAGGTTATAGAAACTTCGAATTTCTGGTCGGGTTTGATTGACACGTCCTTGCACTTTCACAAATTAAAATTTCATTCTTAATACTTATGAAAAGTGGCAATTTTGTTGTATATTAATGAAAAATATTAAAATTATGATCTAGAAAATTCAGAGTTAAAATGTTGGAAAGGAAAACACGCTCACGATACAATGTCAATCCGTGCTCAGTGGTGTGCAGACTTTAACAACTGAACACACCCGATGAATTGTAAATATTAAAAATAACAGAGCTCGTGCCCTGTTTACAAAAAGTTTATGTTTCATCGGTGTATTCAAATTAGTTAAACTCTGTAGACAACACCAAGCACGGACTGACGATACTAGCGAGGGGATTTTACTTTCGAACATTTCTACTCTGAATTTTCTGTATTTTAGTTTTAATATTTTTCATTAATACATAACAAAAGTGCCGTAAGTCGTGAAATTATACAGAAAACTTCTCTATAATATTACGACTTATATATTTTAATTGCACCTTTTAAGTCATGTGCTAACATGAAATCATGTTGTAAATTTTGAATTTACTAGGGGGAGGTAAATGCAAAATTTACAACATGATATAATTCAAAATTTACAACATGATAATGATATCATATCCAAATTGTATCCATAGGAAAATAATTTATACTTGAACTGCAATAAAACAAACTCCTTTAATAATCCACAATATTATTTGCAAAAGTTTATATTGGAAATAATTTGACGATCAAAATCACGCAATCTTTAGATCAAAGTTCATCCCTCCTCGCCATCCGCCAATATGTCGTCATATTGCCTTTCCCTTGTCATCAGCCAATATTTTCTCATATTGCCTTTTCCCTTGCCATCAGCCAATATGTTGTCATATTCCCTTTTCCCTGTGGAAAAACATTACTCTCCACAAAAAATGAATTATTGCAAATCAAAACAAAAATATATAATGGTTACTATAGAGCTACCGTAGCCAAGCTGAATTTCGTCCCAGAACTACAAGACAGTGTAGTTGTGAAGATGGTAAGTGCATGTGTAAAATGTAGTATACTTTCATATATTATCTGTTTACTTTTTCTGACTGCGCAATAGATTTTTACATTATAAAAGGTTGTTAGAATCATGTAAAATCGCGTGTTTTAATATTTAGAATTACTACTAGTTTTTCCACTCACCTTTATTGCAATTGGTCCTCGTTCAACTAACAAAAACGAATCATTGGATACCAAAAGATTTTGTGTTGCCGAGCTAATGTGGATTTTCATGGCTTCAATAGAGAGAACCTTTTCAAATTTATTTCAAAAAGACTTCAACAGAATATTTCACGGGGATTTTACGTTATACTAATTCAAGAAAAGTTTTTAAAAGGAAATTATGTTTTATAATGACCACTTTCTGATGTATTTTTAACAGTTGAAGCATAAAACATTTTAATCTGTTTGGAGGAAACTTAATGAATCAGAAGTAAAGTCAAAGCTTTACAACGTCTTCAACATAAACATTAAAAGCTTTGAAAATTGATACTAACGGTATTCATTTGAAAAGAAGTCACTTGGTTTCCAAACAATTGGTCTTCGAAAGAATTTTTTGTAATATCCTTACCTTCCCCGTTGGATTCCATTCTTGAGGCTGTGTTAACAGTATCTCCAAACAAACAGTAACGGGGCATCTGTTTCCCTACTACTCCAGCACATACAGGACCTGAAAAACATATCAAAGAAAATGTGGCAAACAGATCCCTAAAATGGTATTTCTATGCAAGAAACCAAAGTTTTTTTCCTTAAATGTTACTTATAGGATTTTAATATATGTTCAGTAGAATACATCGAATGTGAGACCACCTGAATGAATGCCAATGCGTGCCTGAAGACTCATGTCAGGTAAATGCCTTATTCGGAAGTCTTTCACATTGTCCAAGATAGCCACCGACATTTTAGCAATTTCAGTCACGTGCTCATTCCCATTGCGCAAAGGTAATCCGGACACAACCATGTAAGCATCTCCAATGGTTTCCACCTTTCAAAATAGTTTTACACTTACACTTACTAAATATACGTTCTTTTATTAAAACTAATCAGGGACATATGAAACACGTGATTTCGAGTTTTACCTTGTAAACATCAAAGTTCTCTATGACTGTGTCAAAGCACGTATACAAATCGTTCAGCAAATCTACCACCTGATTGAGAATTCAGACAGTTTAAAGTTGATTTCAGACATTTCCGTAATAAAACATTTTCGTAATGATCAATGTACGTATATTTCATTGATTATCAGGGAAAAAATCTAATGTTAAAGTGTCAACCTAAAATACTATACGTCTACACAAAATAAAACAAAAGACTTTTCATAACCAAGATACATGTACCAGTAAATGTTTTACCTGCATGGGCGTGCTTGCTGCAGAAATTGATGTGAATCCCACAATATCACTAAAGTAAATCGTGACACATTGGTATGCTTCAGCTTCTACTTTGTGTCCACGTATTAAGTCACGCGCGATGCTCCTTGGATAAAAAGTAAGCTTAAAACACGATTTAACTTCGAAAAAAAAACTAGCTTCTTTTTGACAAAATATTATACAATTATAGCCTTTTGATGAGGTCAATCCCTCGATATATAGACCTTAGAGAAAACATAGCGACCGAGCACGAAGTGCGAGGTCGATATGCTTTCTCTAAGGTCTATATATCGAGGGATTGTACCGAATCAAAAGGCTACAATTGTTTTATTATTTTTTATCAATCAATAAGAAATGTCTTAAAATCCTTCTTCCTAATACTCATGCCTTCTCATACAAGGCATTGTTGTGTCATTTGCATTGTGACGTCACAGTAATGAAGACCAGCTGCAGTATCTGTTTTTAGAAACATCCAGTCTATAAAGACTATTGTGACGTCAGCACTATTGTTGCTTCACAGAAGAACGTTTCCAATTTTAGAAACAGCAGGTTTATAAATTTTTAAAATAGAAACATCCAGTCTGTAACACTTTTTATACTTGATCATGTGATCCAGTTTGAGCCAATCAGATAGTTTGAACAATAAAGAAAAATAATAAAATAGAAGATCGCTGGTTACCTGGGTAACACCTGGTAGAGAAGCTCCTCTGAACGTCTTTTTTCGTCCAAAAATGCATGCATTTTTTCCTCGGCAGCATTTTCTAGATTGTTAGCATATTCATCCATACGGGAAAGTAAGTTGTCGAGAAAATTTTCCCCTAACGTACCCCTTGTGATATAAGATACTTGACAATGAAAGATTGTGTTTCAAAATTATCATTAATTTTTCTTTGATTTGCAAAACCATTGTAAGTGTCCTTCCTAAATATCTGTATTTAAAATGTATCTTGAATAAAAAAAAATTAAGACCTTGCATTTTACATATTATATATGCAATGGGATGCTCAAATATTGCTATTTTAATATTATTGAGAAGCTTGCGTACTATTTTATGGATACTTGCCATTTCATCTCTTTGGACTCCTTTGCTATACTTGAAAATGTTGGTCTATCTTCTACATTTTCCTCCAAACACGAGTACATAATGTTCAGGAGAGAATTCTCTCCCTCTGGTACATCTTGGACCTCTGGTCTGAATGGTGTTCTAGTTGGAAACTTGATCTTGTTGATGATATCTGAGAAAATGATTTTTAAGAAAATACAGAACAGTTAACGCCCAAATATGACCTTAAGGTACTTTTTCCCTTTTTTGCTCTTAATATAATATTTATACAGAACATGACGTCTTCACATGAGTTTAAAATTTGCTTAGGTATCGCCGTTTTTTTTGCAACATATGTACCTTCGATGGAGAAAAATCTCATCTCATCTTCAAAAGGTTCTCTTCTAGTCATTATTTCTAACATTATGATTCCAAAACTGTATACGTCCGCCGATTGTTGAACTGGGATAAGCATATTTCGCAATAGTTCTGGTGCAAAGTAAAGAAGGTCTAAAAATTGAAGGTAACGAATTTTTAAGAATTGATCTATTATTAGTAGAAATGATAAAACAAAAGGTTTTTACAGTCTTGTTGATTTTTGTTATATGGAACAAAACATCAATATTCGCTATCATAGGTTTTTTTTTTTATTTGATTTGAACATTATTTTATTAAAATTTAATTAAACAAAAGGATTGGGCACAAGTTCTGAAAAATTATAACGCCCTCTCCCTTCATGTAAGTCTTATTTTATAGAACAGTAGTTTAAAAAAAATTCTCTCTCTTCTTTTTCTTTTTTTCAAAATACGTATATCTTAAAACTATTATTATAAAGCAAATAATTTTTTTTTAAAAACGTACATAAATTTTAAGACTTTCACAAAAATTATAACATTTAATGCTATATGACAATAAGCCTACAGTCAATGTTTTATAAATATATGAAGAAAGAACGATTTATTTTAATGATGATATAGATCTAGAAAATGCCTCTCAAATAACTTTTCAATAAGTTTTAACAAATATAATCAAGACATCCTTATGACTAGGTAATTACTAGTATACCAATTAAATGTTTCAACTAGACAGAAAATACTGCCTTGTATCATACCAACATGTTTGAAATTTATTACAGATACATGTAGTGAATGAGAGCATGGCAATAAATTGCAATCAGATGACCAAAAAATGAGATAACCTTGTTTGTCGGTTTGCTGAATTTTACTTCTAATCGATGGAAGTCCAAAACAATCCAATTTAAGAACAAATCGGCTATCAATCAAACAGTGCCGACTGTTTAAATTCCCGTGGACGCCTATAGGACAGTTATGGAGGTAGGAGCATCCCTAAAAATATATTGTGTTCCTTATTCTTACGGTAAGTCAAATCAACAAACTGAATGATTACATAATTATCTTTGATTTGTTTTTACATAAACCTTATCTTGGTCTACCCACCGTTAAAACTAATGACTTTTTAGTTTTAGTTAACATGACAATGGCTCAGAATATAATTATTTCATTTGTTGAATATTAAAACATTATTACCTTTATTATATCACAAATCAACGACGCTTGCAAATCTTTATTGATTTTGAAACCGTCATCTTGGAGAATGTTCTGCAAGAAATACAATTGATTCCAAGTCAACTAAACTTACATGAACATCTTATATAAGTGTTTATTGTAAATAAATTATATTAAGAGTGTACGATATTTGGTAGAAATTGCTTTTCAAGATCTGATTTAATGCATTCCTTAATGTTCTTATTTATGGTCTACAATGTATGTGTGCAAGACATTTAACGTTGTACTTGAATTAGCGGAAGTTTGTCTCCGCCAAAAGCGCTAAATTGAATACACAGCCAAATGTAATACCTTTACAGTCATCAATCAATCCATGAAAAAAAGAAGAAGATTTTCAATGTATTGGGTGGATATATTTATACGTAATATATACTTATTACCTTTAAGGTTCCTCTACTGCAAGCCTCCGTTATAATATATAAATCTGTGTCTTTCTGACTCAATCCGTAGAATTTTGTCAGATAAACACAGTTTACATTTCTGAGCTAAAACCAGAAAAAACATCACAAATTATGTAAGCGATGACACTTTTTTTTTATCAAAATGTTTCAGTATGTTCTGGTAATAAAACCAACAAATGTTTCTGAATATGGTTAATCAAAACTCAGATTACGAGTTTTTAATTACGAAAAAAAACTGTACGTAAATGTTCTCATGACAAGAACTTTGATGCTCTTCTTATATTTTTGATTTTTTTAATTCATAACAACATATACACACATTAATAAGATTAATAAAGAGACTTAAACAGTTAAAGGTCATACATGGATCAATTCCATCTGTGTTTCCAAAGTAGGTTGAAAATTTCTGATCATCGTTGGTGTTAGAGCAACTGCAGACCCCTGTAAAAGCCATAAATAGATTTGTAAGTGACAATGAGTATACTAGTTCTATTGAAATTATATAAAATTCTCCTTTAATGTATTGACTAACACTAGAATGATTCCACATAAAGCTGTCTTGTCATGCGGTGTTTTTTTGTTGTTGTTGTTTTTTTTTTTTTTTTTTTTTTTTGAGGAAATTTGATTAAGAAATACAAATCTTTTTTATTTTGATAGAAAAGAAAGCTTAACAAATTTTTTGGCCAAACAGAATTTGCGGATTGCTTTCACTTGCCTTATACATTCTGAACAAATTTTTGTTCTCTTTGATATCATCATCTTCAGAAGGATTAAGAAGCTGTAAAAGATATAAAACACATAGTACGGAAAAAAGTTCTATGCAAGAAACACAAGAAATTGGATATTAAAGGATTTTTATTAATAAGATATTTGATGCCTTTTTTTTTTAATTTTAAATGTTGTTTACAAAAAACATGGATATTAAATTTAACGCTTATTGTATTGTTTTGAATATATCTCTTTAATGATCAAGATTTGAATAACCTTTGAACTCCCAAATACAGATTTGTTTCTTTCAGGGTTCTTTTCTAATGCTTCCCATTCTATTCTCCACCAGTTGCTTTGTAAATCCGCGCGTAGTTTTAGCTGCCTAAAATCATTGTTTAAATAAAACAGATTTACTGGTTTTAAATAAAATCAAATATGGGAGACTTAATATGAGTAATTCGTACAACTTTACGACATATTTTGCAAAGCTGGAATTCCTACAGAGATTTTGTTATCAACTTCAGAGTGCTTGTGTGTACAAAATGAATACTACGTATACAGTATTTTACACAACAACAAAAAGTTAAGAAATTTTGTTGAACCATAATTATATATAATATTCTTTTTATATCTTCTTCTCTGAGTGAGAATATTTTTTGGGCTTCATATAAAATTCATTAACATATTTTATTACTTACTTGTAAATCGGTCTTCCTGCCGCCAAGAATATAATGATAATGGCACCAAAGACGATGGGGAGAACAATCAATAGATTAGATTCATCTAAAATATATACGTTTTAATGCGTAAGGGTAGAATAACATCTTCATAATGAATTATTCGCGGTTAACATGGTTTTGATACATTGGCTGTATGTTCATTATTTGATAGCTACATTTCCTTCACCTACTATTTAAGGGAGTTAAATGTACTCATTCAAAGATTCTATTATATATACTTACAATGCATGACTTAAATAAGTATCATAAACAAATTTAACCTAAAACAAATTGAAAAATATACATTGTATGACCTTTTGGAAAACAAATTGGGTCGTCACCAGTGAATCCACACCTCGGTCGATTCACGGGAGGTCCTTTGTCCATCGGCCATTTTATACTTCTTTCTGTCTCCATCCGCAAATCTCCTAAATAGTCCCCCACTTTCTGGATTAAGAAAGTTTCTTATAGTTAAATATGTTCAGAAATTAAATGTGGCTACTTACAGAAAATATAGTTCATATTCATACATTCATTTCCAGTGTTATTTAAATGTAATGAAATATATGGAAATAATGAATAGTTTTCATGCTCAAAAGCCAATTAAACAATACAAATCAGGAGTAGAGCAAACACAGACAACTAATACACCAGAGGTGAGATCAGGAGCCATGGAGGAGTGAGCATCCCCTGTCGAGCAGAAACACTCGGCTTGTGCTCCTTGTCATGATCGGGAAATAACGGGAAGAATATGTCCACAATTCAGCATCTAAGTAAGATTATTATTAAAGTGGTTCAGGGGTGAGATTACAGTTTCTAAAAGAGTATATTTGCTTTATTGTTTAAAACATTTATAAAAGCGTTATAAGATCATATTTTTCTTTCCGGGTTACAGTTGTACAACTTTAATTAGAAATGGTAAACTGAGACAAAAATCGAGCAGGGACTATACGTATTTGGGGGGAACGGCGGCGTATGAAAATATGCTTCTCAAATTGATATTATTATAGATAATAAATTTTACATAATCAAAGACTTGAATAAATTTTCAAATGTACGTAACATTAATTATAAGAGTGTTAAGTTTCGAATTTATTAATGTCAATTTAGTAATATCATCTAATAGACCCTACCGATATATAACAATTGAATTGTTAAATAGAAGTAGGCATCGCATGATTAGCAACATTATTTTTTCATTCTTCGTGTCCAAGGAAAAGATAATCACCTTGCCCTGACTTCCTTCCTACATGAAATAGTCAAATTTAATCTGACTGATGCCATCACTTAGTGATATTGTCTTCTTAAATCTATGAAAATTTCATAACTAGTAATTTTCAAATATAAAAATATGAGGAGAATCCCTCCTTAGGATACTGAGTATTCTTACATTTCCCGTGAAAATTCGATAATAGATGACTATTTTAAATTTGAAATATGTAAAATGTCTGAATATGATGATAAATGCGCTTGTAGAAGAAACATGCATGGGAGACCATTCCTTTGATTTTCCTAAAACCTTTACAAAGAAAAGTCTATTGTCTTGGTCGTATATCTAAACTGTGTCATTCGTATTATCTTAAATTGCTTCCAAATTTGATAGAGCTGTAACATATATATGTAAATTTGAAATAAAAGACCACAGAGTATGACAAATATGTTTCATATTTGAATATTTTTACAAGAAAATGCATAAATGGTAATTAAATAACAAAGCTTAATGATAAACGTAGTGATTTCAACTTTTCCATTGTCTACGTTACTTAATTTAGACTAAAACCTGTATTTGGAGTAGCATTTTGAAAGTATTTCATAGAAATTTCTATTTTTAGTAACCATGGCTACACCATTCATCGAAATCAAAAACTGACACACAGAATTATGTATGTTAGTATTGTCTATTTGTTTGCAAAGTCATATTGAAATCAGACTAAAGACTTTGTATAGGGAATAGCATTTTAATGTATTTCACAGAAATTTCTATTTTTAGTAACTGCAGCAACACTGTTCATCGAAATCAAAAACCGATACACAGAATTATGTATCTTAGTGTAGTCTACTTGTTTCCCAAGTTATATTGAAATAAGACCAAAACTGTCAGAGGAGAAGCATTTTGAAAAATTGTTTACAAACAGACAGACAGACAGGCGGACGGACGGACGGAAGACGGACGCATTACTATCGCATAAGCTCTTCTAGTCTCTGACCGGTAGAGCTAATGATACAAAATCTTTTACCCAAAGTCTTCCCTCAGCATCGAAATCAAGAACTGACACATCTCGCTCTCCATCGCCGTTTTCGTTGATCCTGAACCTTCCAGCCATAAGTCCACTATATGTTTTATTTCTCAATCTTTTCGTCACTAGTCGCCCGTCATAAACATCCTCGCCATTTTGAATCATTTCCTTTATTGTTGTGCCATAGATTAGGAAAACATCATGGTATCCGGTTATATAGTGCTGCACCTTAGATATAAAGCAAAAGAGGAGTTTAACCTTGATCCCTGTTTTTTATCATTATTAAAATTCTTTCTATGCTCTTTTTAAGGCAACTCCGTTTGAGTGAAAAATTCTCGAGAGGGACGTTCAACAACATACAATCAATCAATCTGTTATTTTTGTTATAAGAGTTTTTCCAAGATATTTTCCTTTAATACATTAAAATAGAGATTTTTTTCTGTGTTCTTTTTCTGGAAAAAATTCATTATGTTTAATTATTTTTATTCACATCTGTTTTCTCGGCGTCAAAATCGTAGTTGTGTTTAGTAAGAGAATGGTTCTTCACGGCGGCCTCAAAGACTTTAAACTCCGGACTTTCTGGGTTATTTGGAAGAGCCACCAGTAGTGAATTAAATGCTTTCTTCGCAATCTGTGAATACATTTCCAGTTAGTATCTTAATTATACGCCAAAAGGTAACAAATGTGTTCAGAGTATTTTTTTTCTATTATTTATCCATAAAGTATTTTTTATTTGATTGTTATTAGATTAAATAAAATGCATCTTTTTAAAAATATTTGACATGTTTATTGAGGAAGTGCATTAAACATTTTGTTCTGTTTTAACAAATTAATTGCTTCGAAATTGAAAATATGAAATGAAATACAAGTACATGTATGCATATGAAAGAAATTTGAAGAAAAAAATACTTGCCTCGTTTCTCCTTTCATCTCCTTCTACATACCACTGGTCAGCCATGAAAGGTGAAAATGTTTTAAAGAATAAGAAAACAAATTCACCATTCGTCATTCCCAAATCATGAGCATCCAACAATAAGTCTCTTATGCGAAAAAAGGCGACCGCTAATACAATCACTGAAATACAATAATTATCTGAATTAAAATGTAAAACAGCCCATCAAACACATCAGAGAATCAAAATGATAACAAAGTAAAATTGTTTTTGCCTCTTGATACTTTAGCTGCAGCTTTCAGGGCTTGGTTGAATTTTATACTTGGAACATCACATAAAGTCGCTCGAAGTCCATTTTCAGTAAAGTGTTCTAAAAGATTCTCACTTTGGAAAGTGTTTGTCAGCCTTGATAACGGAACGTAAGTATCTTGTACAATGGCAATATCCTCCCATTTGTACATCTGAAATAGTTTCAGGTAAAATTGTCCTACCATATCAAATGAATAGGAAATTCTTGTTAATGTAGGAAAGAATGTCTTATTGTCAAACAAAGAGTTGATTCCCACAGGGGTGATGAGAGGAATATTCCAGTCGGCTGCCATTCTTCCGATCAATTCAACGCCAGTGCTGCAACCTGAGGAGAAAAACCACGAAAAATAATTCAATTAATTTTGCAAGGTTAAAAAATCAACATTTTTTATGTTGCGCTTAATTAAAAATATTCGAATACAAAAAGTACAGATTCTTTCATCTTTAAAGATATTTGATTTAATATATTCTCTTCCTTTTTTTTTTTTTTTTTAGAAAATTACCAGGTCCAATAAAAGCCGTTGTGTTTCTTATATAACGATGCTCTGCTCCAAGTGCTCCGTAGTCGTACTTTGTACATCCAATGAGTTTGGGCATGCTTTGGAAGAAGCGAACAGTTGCCATCCCATCCAGCATTTCTGTTAATTTACTTTGTCCTAATTCTAACGCCTTCTCGGTTCTTGCTATACTCCATGGGGCTGTTGATCCATTCGCCAGGAAAACGCTTAGATTTATTTCAAGTTTATTGCAAGACGTGCAATGCAAAGAGTACAGGAATACCAAGAATAAAAGTTGCTTTTGTGACATATCTACTTCAGCGATTTTTCTTTATTTGTCTTCGTTTAAAACAAACCTTTTTCGGCTGATATAGATTTCGTCATAAATATTAAATGAATACAAGATCAGTTTATATACCTTAATAACAGAATTTTTTATTCATTTATCTTTTTTTTTATTTAATTATGAACTAAGTTTTTAAATCAAATCCAACAAATTGCAATTTCTAAAGCATACTAAGGTGATTGAAACAGGTATGATCAAAAGCTTGCTCTCTGTCAGTCTCTCATTATATTTTGTTTAATAAAGAAAAAAGAAATCATAAATCAAACAAATTAAATTTCAGACAAAATTTGTTCTTTTTGGCAAAGAAATATATACTGAAGAATTAAACTTTTAAGATTTTCAAAACAAAATACTGCACAAAACGTTTATTACTTTAAAAGTGATTATTGATGATAGAATTTTTATAAAGTTCATTTAGAGAATGTATAATGTAAAGTAATGTTGGTCACTTTCTACCAAAGCACCAAAACCTGAATTCATAAATCTCGATCATAAAATTAATAGAAAATTGTTTTTGAAGTACCAATAATTCAAAAATAAATATTACTTGAATCTATCCCAATTGAAAAAAAGGAACAGATTGAAATACATATTTTTTTTTAAAAAATAAAATGATATTAATTAAGGAAAACGAATTATATGTTAATATATGATTTTTGAATCTGTATATTTCACAAACTCTAAGGATCTAAACTCTAAGACATATATTATTAAAAGCTATACTAGTATATATATGTTCCCTTTTGTGCGTGTAACCGTTGTTTACCACAGGTGCTTGAGTTTTCGTTTATAAATGAATTAAAGTATACCTATATTGACATGCATGTCAATAGGTCGGATCTATGCATATTCATAAACCAAACCCAGTATCATCTATACCTATTGATATGTGTATCAATAGGTCAGATTTATGCATATTTATAAAGCAAGACCCGGTATCTTTGTTGTTAACGTATAATCTGCTGAGCTCAGCCATTTTAAACCGGTATTTCGCAACACGAATTTATTTAATTGTGCAATACCTCGTCTATTTAATACCAAACGTTGCCAACTTAGATTAGATCGCTACTCAACTCGAGCCTGACAACGTCTCTCCATCATGGCGAGACACGGAGGGATTCGGGGGCGTTTCTCAGCCGCTTACTTCGTCAATCCGACTGACGACGGTAACAACTGACCCAGGGGCCCGGGTTGGCCTTTTTTTGAAGAGGAACCCGGGCCTTACTGTTCAACATCTTTTGGCGACACATTCACCAACATCTACACAGAGACCTGGGAGACATGCGGCAACACGGGTCTGAAAGACGGACCTCTCCCTGAGCGGCCGCGCATTCACATCGGACTCGGTGTGCTAGCAGGGGGGAGAGGGAAGTCTGGAGGGCCCCCCAATTGTACAAGTTTTGTGGTGAATTATTTCAGTTTTACCACAACGTTGTTACTTTTGGGGATTCATATCATCGGGGTGACAAGGTTTGTAACTTTTGTTTTTTATGCGTAATGCAATATAAATCTTTTTGTTACATTTTTGATATCATATCTATATAACATAAATCATGAGGAAATAAAGATTGAATGGAAGATATACATGTATACCATTACTTGCAATTTCTTTAATGATGATTAGACATGCTTTGAATACTTGTTGAATATTTTTTTAATTGTTGATTCATTCTCCATGCACCAGTGTGTAATCTAGACTGTTTTGTTTGGCTATGTGTACTATGCCTACCTGGACACCGCATGATTTAAACAGTCAAACAATCAATTCGTCGTAGAGAACCATGCATAAAATAAACAAAATCCTACTGAGCAGATATCTATTCCTGCTTTTATCTGTCTATACATGTAAGAAAAACATGATAATACCATAGATAACCCTATAAATAAGTAGTGTGTGTTTGATTACATGAAACTTAAGATATTGCCAAAGGTAAAGATGTCACACAATCAATTTTTACAATAGCTCCAAAACTATGTGAGGTACATGTATAAAGTAAAAACTTTTACAGTGTATAAATATATCATTGATAATCAGATAGAAAATATCACTTTCAAACAAAAATAAAAAATATATGAATTTTAAAAAGAAAAACAAGAGTCCCATGGATTACATCGCTTACCTAAGTTACTTTGTTCTTTACTAGATTTTCCCCTTTGAAATATCTTTTGTGGCCCCGTCCTACCCCGGGGGATCATGATTTGAACAACTGAGAATCTACACTACCCCAGGATGCTTCCACATAAGTTTCAGCTGTTCTTATCAAGTGGTTCTTGAGAGAAGATTTTTAAAAGAATTTTCTTACATAATTCAATGTAAAACTTGGATTTTCTTTTGTGGCTTGCCCTGGGGGTCATGAAATGAAAAAATTAGAATCTTACACTGCCCCAGGAGCTGTGGTTCCTGAGAAGAAGATTTTTTAAGAATTTTACTATATATTTCAATGTAGAACTTGGATTCCCTCTTGTGGCCCGCCCTACTTATGGGAATGATTTGAACAATTTAGAATCTACACTATTCCAGGAAGCTTCCACATTTGTTTCAGCTTTCCTGGCCCTGTTGATCTTGGGAATATTCTTAAAGATTTTCCATTATATTTCAATGTAAAACTTAGATTCCCTATTGCAGCCCTGTCCTGCCCCCGTGGGTCATGATTTTAACAATTTAAAATTTACACCACCCCAGGATGCTTCCACATAAGTTTCAGCTTTTGTGATCAAGTGGTTCTTGAGAAGAATTTTTATAACCCCACTCTATTTTTATTTTTTCTTGATTATCTCGTCTTGTAAGGGGACTTGGCCCTTCATTTTAACAATTTACATTCCCATTACCCAAGGACAAGGGACATTGGGTGATCAGAAAAGCTAACTTGAATTTTCAGCAGGTGAGCTAAAAATATATCAAAAAATTTGTATATTACTCAGTAGTATTTTGCACCTACTCGATTTGTACTTTTAGTGAACACCATAATTGCAGGAAAATACTGCGTATATGTTTATCAATTAAGGGCAAGTTGATTGGACGTAAATGGTCTCTTAAATGCTGTTATATTGAAAGCATGACATGTATAAGACAAGACTCCTAAAAAATCCGCCATTTGCAATGTACTTTCGGTTTCAAATCTTTTTTTTTAAAAAATGGACAAATTAAGAGGCTATCAAATTCCAACTTCCCCTTCATTGATAACATATATTGTTTCTGCAATGATGGCTTTGACTTAAAGTACGGAATTAATTAGGTGTATTTTTTTTTTTAAATTGCATTTTTTAAAAGAATTTTTCTCGATAAATATTTTTTGAAGTATTTGTTAATAAAGTTTGAACTTTATAAACCACACAGATTTGGAGCTATTGTAAAAATAGTTTTTGGACATGCTGATCTTTGCTGATCTTTTCTACAATGGGTTTATTCAAAATCATGACTCATTGACTGTGTCGTCACTCACGGTCCTTTTTAGATTTTTTTAAAACTGAGAACTCCTCGGAAAAGAATGGTTTTTTTGTTCGCCAATTTCCCTTAATTCATTATGGACATACGCAACGTACGTCCTGTTGATACTTTTTCAAGATTTTCTTAATTTAAAATTATAGTGCCATCAAATGTTCGTTGACAACATTGTAGCATGCATACCAGGGATTTTGAAAAGATATAAATTGATGAGAATTCCTGTAAAATGAAAATATTTTTAAAAATACTAAACATATATTCTAGATGATTTGTTTATCCAATACATATACCAGACCATCAAAGACATTTGACATAAACATGGAAATTACAAATTCAGCCAAATCGTTTAGAAAATTCAATTGGCAAACATGTGATCAATTACATTTTGAATTTTAGCATTTTCTTTTAAATAATGGCTTAAGTATGTTTTCACATATGAGTTTCCCATCAGAACCACAAGGTGATATCCAATCGGAAGACGAGTATGTGAGTGCACTTGTATATGCTTGTTAAAAAGTTGCCATTTTTGGAATAACTCCATATAAAAAACAAAATAATTTCCACACGTAACTCTCGATCATGATATCATGGAATTTTATGGATGTTATTTCCGGTTTAGGAAATTAATCTGTATATATAGAGAACATACCAAAGCAGTTTCCTCAGATCACCACTGACCTCAGACCCGACATGATCTCCCTTTCGTGGTGAAGAACATCGGGTTTGAGGGGTGTTTCTCAACCGCTTACTTCGTTATTAAAAGATTTGCATCATAAGTTACTGTTACATTCGACACATTCACCAACATCTACACAGAGACCTGGGAGACATGCGGCAACACGGGCCTGAAAGACGGACCTCTCCCTAAGCGGCCGCGCATTCACATCGGACTCGGTGTGCTAGCAGGGGGGAGAGGGAAGTCTGGAGGGCCCCCCAATTGTACAAGTTTTGTGGCGAATTAATTAAGTTTTACCACGACTTTGTCACTTTTGGGGGTTCATAATATCATTGGAGTGAGAAAAGGTTTGTAACTATTGTTTTTTATGCGTTATGAAATTATATAATTTTTTTCTTGCATATTTTGATATCATATATATCATGAAGAAACAAAGATTGAAAGGAAGATATGCCGAATTAAGCCTGTATTTTGTTTATAATTAGACATACTTTGAATACTTGAACATTGAATTATCTTTTATCTGCTTTATTCCCCATGCACTAGTTTGTAATAAATATAGATTGTTTGGTTTGGTTTTGTGTACTGTGGCTACCTTGAAACACATGATTTAAACAATCATTTGATCAAGGAGAAGTATGTCTAAAATAAAAAGCCTGCATCAGATATCGACTTCAGCTTTTATCTGTTTGTAAGAAAAAAACATTTCAATAATTAAGGAAAGCGTGTTTAAGATTAAATGTTACATACTAATGGGGTTTTTTTTTTTCAAGATCACAGCTGGGTAGTCACGGTCCTTTTTAGACTCTTTAAACCTGAACACCCCCTCCGAAAAGAATGATGTTTTTGTCAATGCACCAATTTTCCATTTATTCATAC